CTGCGGCGGGCGGCTGGCGCCTCCTCATCCTCCTGCTGCCGCTCCTCCTCTGCCTGCTGCTGCCGAGGATCGAGGAGTCACGCGGAATGAGTACTACTCTTAGGTCGGGCATGTCCTCCTCCAGGGGGGTTTTGGATGACACAATATCCACAAAATATTCAAACATAGGCGAAAATATGCAAGAAACACCTCCCCAGACTGTTCATGGACTATTCTCGAGTACTCCTCCTGTAGAGGGACATGCCCGACTTCATACTACTCGCCTCCGTCCCCCGAGTGCGTGCTGAAAGTGCCCCTCTTCCGTGTGCAGCGCTCAGACACACAGGATTTCAAAACCTGATGTCTGATGCGGCCCGTTTAATCGGAACCTTCTTCCTGTGCTTCAGAATGGTGCTCCTGCTACAGCGTGCGCCTCATTGTCGGACTGGCGCTTTGCCCCCGTCGTCCCGAATGGCGCTCTCGCCCAAGCGCGGGCCGCTTTTCTGAATCCGAGTCGTTCCTCGTCGTTCTCTCCCCGCTCCTCTCCCCTCCCCTCCCCTGCAGCATCCCCTGGTCCTCCTGCTCCTCCCGCTGCTGCTGTTGTTCCTCCTCGTCCCCCTCCTTCCTGCTCCTCTCCTCCTGCTCTTCCTCCTGCTCTTTCCCCAGCTCTTCCGTCACATCCTCCTTCCCCCCAGTGTAGACAGCTCTCCTCTTCCTGAAGGCGCAAACCACGATCGTGTCCGTTTCGGGGGGGTCCAGGTCCGATCTGACACTCGTCGGCGCATCGAGAACAAGTCTTCAGCGGCATAAGGAAGCATGAGAGGGAGGGGTCGGATGTCAGATCTGGCGCGAGCGCCCACAGCTTGTCCCGGCCCCCTCTACCCGCACCCATCCACCGCTCTCTGGCTCCCTCGCTCCCTCTCTTCCCCCCTGCACTTACTCCTGATTCAAAAACAATCAAAAAATAGTCTGGGGGCTATGTTTTGACAATTTCCGAACATGTTGGGAGTAGTTTTTGAGTATTTCATTTTTTCGCCCAAATCCCCCTGTAGGGGGACAAGCCCGACCTAATAATACTGCTTTCCTCTCTCTTCCAAGGACGTCTTGCGTATCGACACGCCGGCTTCGTGCGAGCTTGCGAGCCTGCTCGTTCAATCCGAGCGCTGCTGGTCGTTCCATCATGGCGTTCCCGCCGCATCGCGCGCCTCACTTTCGGATCGGCGCTTTGCTCCCGTCGTTCAGAATGGCGCTCTCGCCCACTCCGAGTCCTTCCTCATAACTAACTTCCTGCTCCTTTCCTCTCCTCCACATTCCCCTTGTTCCTGCGACTGTTTCTCCTCATCCCCCTCCTTGCTCATCGTCCTGCGCATCCTCCAGCTCATCCACCTCCTCCTCCTTGTCCTCCTCGTCCTCCTCGTCGTCGTCGTCGTCGTCCTCCTCCTCCTATATACGCAGATACCCCCGTGCTGATTGCGCATAACACGATGGTGCCATTTTGGGGGGCTCCAGGGCAACTGTGTCACCCGTCGGTGGTTAGAGAAACATCAGCGCCATCGGAAAGGGATGGTAGGATGTATCGGATGTCAGATATGGCGCGAGCGCACCAAGCTTGCCCCTCCTCCTCCTCTCTCCAATGTCTCTCTCTCTCTCTCTCTCTCTTTCCCCCCTCCCTCCCAGGGTTTCCTACTTGAAGGGTCAGAGGTGCCAGGACCTACGTCTGCGAGCGTCTCAGTGCGCCTGTGTCTCGCTGTGAACATACCCGCCATGCATAATTTATTTCGCCCGTCGAGCGAAACAACAACCTATTGTCCCTCCTCCCTCCCTCCACCATCCCTCATTCTTCATTCCCTCCTCCATACCTGAAATATCATCAGCACGACTAATCGCACCACCTAACTATGACTATAGAGCCAACTTCACTTCAAGCGCTTTCCGCATTCATCGAACAAGGCCACCCTTAGGGTGATATGACGTCAGAACGCGATGGCTATATTCGGGAACAGAAAATTAGCACGGGGAAGCCAGGGGTGAGGGGGGTAAGTTAGCACGAACTGTTAACTGTGTGAAACTTCTTTTTGGGAGGGTGCGCCGCTGGATCTCCCCAAGGGGGGGGGGGGGGGGGAAGGGGGTAGGACCCCCCCCCCCCCCTTCCCCGATCCGTCGTCGGGGACCCCCCCCCCCTTTCGATCGTCGTCGGGGACCCCCCACCCCCCCCCATACGCCGCCACCTGACTCCGGAACCCGACCCACGCCACCCCTACCCCAAGTCCTCACCCTAACCCAAACCCGTAACCCTAACCCCAACCACGAACCCCAGCCCCAAAGAGTACTCACTACTCATTACTCACTACCCACTACTGCCTACTCGCTATTCGCTACTCACTTCTCACTACCGCCCACTCACTACTCACGACTCACTACTCACTATCCACTAACCACTACCCACCACCCACTACTCGCTACTCGCTACTCACTACTCCCTACTCACCACTCCCTCCTCCCTACTCACTACTCACTCGTCACCACCTACTACTGAATACTCGCTACTCACTAAGCACTACTCACTACTCCCTACTCACTAATCACTACTCGTTACCCATACCAAGGGCGCGGGCAGGAGTCGAGGCGCATCGGGCTCCCAGCGACGACCATTCCATATTCATGCAGAACCTGTCCACATGGGGGCCGAGGCACCTGAAGAAGATCGACACGCTCAAGGACGACATCGCGATCTTCCCCGAAACTCACGTCGGAGCGGACGGCGCGAACGACATCCTGGAGTACCTGGATTTCAAGGGCTGGAAGGCGGTGGCGTTGCCTTCGCGAGCCCGCCAGCGCGGCGAGCTGGCGGGAGGCATTGGGCTGGCGGCCCGTGCCCATCATCCAGTGACATCCTTGCGGTACCTTGCCGCCAAGTAGGGGCAGATGGTCGGGCTGAGGGTGCTCGACGAGAAGGAGTGGAGTCCTGGGCCTATCGATTTCCAGGAAACGGTTGCAGTCAACTGGCGGTGGAGGGGGCAGTCTATCTTGGCGGTGGGCATGTACCTGACGTCGTCGGTTGGCGCGCGCAGCAAAAAGAAACATAACAAGTTTGCTAGGTTGGCAGCTACCACGAGGGGTCATGATGGACCCTGGGCGGCGATTGGCGATTGGAACACTGAGCCCAGCCAGCTGCGGCAGACGGGTTGGCTCGACGTGCTCAACGCGACGATCAGCACGCCCGAGGACGTGTACTACGCATGTGCGCGAAGCCTCTCCAGGATGTTAGACTACGTGGTGTGCTCAGAGACGTTCTGTATGATATTGGACAAAATGGTCTCAGACCAGGCGGGCCCGGGCGATCGCTGCGGAGTTCGGCTTCACCTTCGAGGCGATCCGCCCATAGCTGCCCAGAGAGGCCTCAGGCTCGTTCAGCCCTTCGCGCTGACCGACCTGCCCAAGAGGAAAGCGGGCCCCAACAGCAAGCGAAGCCGGCAGACGGCGACGAAGCAGCAGGAGGCTCTCGAGCGCGTGGAGCAGGACGCAGCGGATGAAGGAGCCCCGGCTCCAGCGGGGGTAGAGAAGCCGAAAGAGGCATCCAAGCGCAAGCCAGTGCATTGTGCATGGTTGCCAAAGAATGCAGGGTCAGGGTCGAGACGGAGGACCTATTCGGCGAGCACGAGTCTACCTTAGAGGACGACGTGACCAGCGAGAACTCCGAAGGCGAGGAGAAGATGGCGAAGCCCCGCTTGGCGTAGGAGGTTTTCGACCTAGAGGCTGACGCGCGGGACAGCATGTGGCAGATCAAGATGAATCAGGCTGCATCGGAGGACCGCGCTGCATGGAGGTGCCCCCCCGGCTACTTCAAGCAATCTGCCGCGCGCCAGTTCGACGAAAGGTCCGCGAGGGAGCTGGGTGCGCAGCGCGGTGCTTGGATGCACGCGCGCGAGCAGTTCTACGTCACGACGTTGCAGGTTCACCCAGACAGGAAGAGGAATTATTGCGGCAGGGGCGAGGAGGTACGCGTCGCCAATTTCACGGCCAAGCTCGGCGCAGATGTGCCAGCGGACAGCGACCAGTCTATCAGGTGGTGGGGCACCCTTGCGTCTTACTTGCTGGAGCTGCAGCGTTGTGAGAGGGGCAGGGCGCGCGCCACCAGGCTCCCTGGCGAGTGCAAGGCCGTGGGCGGCGCGACCCCGACTGGAGGCATCATCGAGATGACGGCGAAGCAGAAGCGCAGATGGGGGGGGGGCCCTCCGTAACATCGGCGACAGGCGTATGGACCAGTTGCAGCGCCTGGGCGTTGCTGCACTGGCCACGGCGAGGAGGGGCCTGCGCGCGGAGGTGAGCGACGTGCTGCTGGCGTACACCAAGTGGGTACAGGAGCAGGAAGCAGCTGGCAGTGGCAAGTTCCACCGCAAGACAAGGGACAAGCCGAGGTGGACAACGAGGGCAGGGACAGCGCAGTCACGGCCGCGAACATGATCGAGCACATGGGCGCCAAGGGCAGGCATTGGCAGAAAAACTGGACGAGTCACTTCAGCCGCGGGGCCATCCTCGGGAAGCTGGAGATCACCAGGGAGGCCGCGGCCCACGAGGGCTGGGTGGCCATCGAGATCGGGGACCTGAACAGCGCCATCGAGTCGACGGCGAAGAGCAAGGCGAAGGGGATCGAGCAGATGGGCGCGCTGGCTTTCAAGTGGCTGCCGCCGAGCGCCGGGGAGGAGCTGCGCAAGCTGATCGAGGATATCGAGAGGATGGGCACGTGGCCGCGGCAGCTCATGGTCACGCTGGTCAGCCAGCTCAGGAAGGATGCGGGCGGCGATCGCGCGATTGGATTGCTACCCGAAGTGGTCAAGCTGTGGTCGAAGATGCGCAGCGAGTACACCAACGAGTGGGTCACGCACATGGCGGGCACGTGGGACGCAGCAGTGGCGGGCAACAGCGCTCTGAAGGAGGCTCTCGTTTGGTCGTTTGCCGACGAGGCGCTGGACTGGGCGCCGATGCAGGTCTACACCGTCACCGCCCTGTGGGACCTAGCG